AAATGGTTTCTCTGTCCCTGGGATTACGTTTCCTTTTCCATGCTGCTGTGATGCTCTTTACTCCAGGATGAGTCAGAGGTCCCTCCTCTGGTATTTTAACAGGCACCAACACCGGGCCCTGCCAGCTGACATCAGACCGGTCAGTAAAGGTTCAGATCTGTTTCTGATCTGAGTCTCTTGCTCTTTCCTTCTCTCTCTCTATCTCTCTCTCTCTCTGGCGGTATGATTCACTCTGAGCTGAAATACTTTCCCATGAGGAACAATGAAAGAGGGCAGGACGCTGTTTACAGAGCCACAGAGCTGTCAGTGAGACACTGACCGGGGGGTGCGGTCTACAGTTAAGGACAAAGATCACACTCTTTATACAGACCTGGCTAATAAGGTTTACATCTGTGGAGGGCAGACGGGTTGCAGCCACTGGTTCTGGTTCTGACACACACCCTGATGACATTTAAACCCATAAAATAAAATTTTACTTCATGAGAGAAGACATCTTAGTCTAATGTCTTCAGTTAGTGACTCTTTGAAGCTCCAAGCAGAGACCACATTTACCAGAATCCAGACTGTTGACTGATGGGATGATCTGGTCTGGTGTCAGGGATCGGTTTTAGATCCCTGAGGAAGGATCATCACGACTGATCTAAGGCGATTATTTTCTACAGTTTAAATGATGAGGCAGAAGAAGAAGAAGCTGCACTCTGATCAAAATGAGCAGACGACAATTTTAAAAACACGGTAGTATAAAAATCTGGAAAATGTTTAAATGAAAATCAAATTTCTGACTTAAAGGAAAACACAGAAACTGTCAGAATAAAGCCTAACTCATCATTTACAGATGAGCAGTCTTGCTTTTCTACCATTCGCAGAGCTAGCACCACCAGCCAGTCCTCCTGCAGGTCCTCATACCTGTGCTGGTCAGTCATTACTCCAGGTGACTGGATGTCCACCAGTTCAATGCAACAACTTTATCAACATCTGTATTTTCTTATCTGTGCTCGTCTACATCTGAGTAATAGAGTGTCGTGGTGTTATGACATCAGCTCCAGCTAGCATGGCTGCAGTATCACCAGCATTACCTCGTTTAACCAACCTGAATCCACCTGTTATTGCCTTAGATAAAATATTAGTTTTAATGATGACAGTCTGTCACTCATTTTGCAAAAACACAATCAGACCACGTCTGTCCGATCGCAGAGACCTCTCTGAAGGTCCCTGACTTTCCCGGGACTTTCCCTACAGCCGACCATTTCTCTGTGAAGCAGAGTTTTAAGCTGTTTAGCAGCAGTCGCCATATTTGTACTGCTGACTCTATATTTGATTTTGGGTCAGTCCATCAGAGGAGGGCATTCAGCCTCCTTCAAATAGCTACAGTGTCCTCCTGTCAGTCAAATCAGCGGTGCCTCTGATTGGCTAATCTTGTCATCTTAATGAATCCAAAACAAACCCTTCAGAGACATATTTACTTCCTGTCCGGTCAGTTTGTTTTTGTCTTTTGAATGAGTGTGTGTGTGGTTTTTGGTGCTCCTGCAGACAGCTCCTAGTGGACACTCCAGGAACTGCAGTTTTTTGCACCTCAGCATCAGTTTTATTTCATGTTGGGTTCATGAGCAAAGGCCCAACATGTCCCATGATTTTGGGATATAATTCACTGTGTTCAACATTGACTGACGGTAACTGGGCTCTCTCTGAATCAGTGAGGTTCTGCGGCTCATGAGGAAGGATGTCTGAGACACTGAGCTTCTTTTTAAACCAACGATCAGTTGAGTTATAAATAGAAACAGTAAATTTGAATGTGTTAGAGAATGGCTGATAACAAACATTAGCTCTGGGTGTGAAGGACCTTTTACGATGATCGACTCCGATTCCTTGAACAGATCTTGCAGGTCTCTCAGAAATCAGCAGTTGGCAGCAGTTGGAGAAGCTTCCGGTTTCTTTCCTTTTAATTTTGCTCACATGCACACACACACCCTGATCAGTGTGTACAGAACACGCAGAGATCACATTTGCCAAACCAAACACACACACCCACACACTGATTCCCATGGGATTTTTCCTTTGAATGTGTTTGCGTAAGTGTGTGTGTTTTGGAGCTATGGTTAGGGCGTGTGTCAGCAGGTTTTTTTATGCAAAGAAGGCGGTTAATCAACTTTTTTTTTAACCCTTGATGGCTCAAATCAATTTTTTTTTTTTTTTATCGTGGAGGAAGAAAAAGTTTCACTTTTGTGTTGAAAGTTGTTGGTTTTACTGATGATAAATCCAGAATAATGTTTAAATGCAGAGTGATTAGAACAAGAAAAAACAACATTATCAGTGTGTTGGTTTTATTGTGGATGCTCATGAAGCTCTAAACCAAACCCTGATGGTGTGATGAAGAAGTATTTCTCTGACTCCTCTGGTCTCGGTCCATTTACAGCACAGGCACATCCACATTACTGCGTCAGACAGTAAATATACAGTCCAGCTGAACAGCCTTCTGGGTAAATGACAGGCCAATAATACCCACCTGTATGAAGAGAGGGAGTGCCGTAATTTCTTTGAACCCAAGCTGACAGATGACTGAAGGCAGTTAAGAGTCGGAGTTTACGGAGATCCATCTCCCTGAGTTTGTGTTTGGTTAATCTTTATTTACTCAGAGAAGGGTCTGCTGACAGAGCAGGTTCCACTCCTCCCTGCTTTACATTACATATCTCTCTGCTTCAGTATAAACTAAAACACTCTGCTTTGTGTTTAACTCATCCTGAATAACATGAGGAAACTGCAGCTCCTGACCCAAACACATACTTTCCCTGAAAATTGCCCTCTTTTGCGGGGTGTTTCCTGCAGACAACAGAAATGAATATAATCCCTTCAGTGAGCGTCCTGCACATCTGTCTGGGGTCGGCTGTCCAGTGGATCTGCAACAACAGATGCGTGCTGCTGATGCAAAAACACAAAAGTCGTGCAAAGGTCCAAAAAACTAACGTCACAGCTACAGGTCTGAGTGGCTGAACTTTTTTTGCATGCTCAATACAGCAACTCACAACCTCTGCACCTGACCAACACATCCACGGGCACAAGTTTATCTCTATCCATATAATGAATATGTAAGGATGCAGGGCTGAAAGAAAATAGTGCTTCAGGAAGAAAACAGCAATAAAAGTTCTCTGTTTACCACAAACTTTACTCAGGGCACACAGTGAGGCCCTCAGTGTTTACATATACAAAATCTGTGTCTGTTATTCTGCATGCATGAAAAATGCAACTGGGTGCAAACCTGCAAAGTCAAACCATCCAAAAATGTCATACCTAAACCTGCAAAAACTAAAATGTTGAATGCAAACCTGCAAAAAACTTTAATTGCTATAAAGAAACCTGCACAAAAAAAAAGAAAAACTAAATGTACAGAGATATTTGTTCTGAGCTCTAAACCGTCCCTGTCCTCTCTCTCTCGCTCTCTCTCTCTCTCTCTCTCTCTCTCTCTCTCTCTCTCTCTTTGACAGAGGTTTCTCTGTGGCTTCACAAAAAAGCATCATAGAGCATGCTGGAAAGATGCAGCTGATGTCACCGACTGTGGGTTTTAGTGCGGGGATGGTGACTGCAGAAACAGGTGAAGGTGTTCTGTTTCCATGGCTACCACAATTTCCTGTAAAGGCAAGTAACAAAAAACAAACATGCCGCGATAACTCAGTGAGAGTGTGTGTGTGTGGGGGGGGTGCACAGGGTATCTGAGGTGACACATTGTCACTGCAAAGAAAGAAAAATAAATCATGCACAGGTCGAGAGAGAGAGCGTGCAGAGACAGAGATACAGAGAGTCTTAAAAGAAGTGTGTGAGAGTAAGGAGGAATGGTGGAGAGGCCTGCAGAAAAAAGAAAAAGCTGGAGGAGAAAAGCACCTTGAGGAATTCCATTCAGCCATGTCTGAGAAAGCCTTTCTCATAAACTCCTCCTGAGGCGACAGCAGAGAGAACCCAAGCTCAGGGGGTCACAAAAACACCACAAAAACATGAGAAGCAAAACGGGATGGTAAAACATCTTTGAGGAGACACATCCTAATTATTTGCATCCCATTTTTACTTCATCGTCAGGCCCATCAGACTTCTGCTCTCAGAGCTCACTGAAGATCTTTCCCAGAGGTGTTACGTTACTGTAGCGGGTTTCTCTAAATCAGAGGCCCATAAATGGCCCACAAGTACCCCCGCCCACCCCACCCCCCAACCGGCCTAGACTTCATACAGGCTTGATTTAAAGAGTCAGGGGTCTGGGGCGAAAGGAAGATATGTCAAAAATGACATCCACAGCCTGAAGAATTTGCCAGTCCCTTTTAAGTGGACAACAGACTGACGCCATGCTCAGCTGTCAGAGTGTCATCAAAATAACTAGAGAGAGAGAGAGAGGACATTTGGGTTTGTTTCAGATCAGAGTGTTCTCGATAAAGGTGGAGTTTCCTTTACTGCAGGAAATCTGAAAAAAAAAAAAACTGCTGCCATGCAAATACCAAAATATGTTACATAATTTTTCTACCACATAAAAGAAGAAAACAACATCAGAAAACATATCTTTTTTGTTGCATAAGGACCACTAACTTTTGTAACACCTGAAAATAAACCAATAACTTGTCTGATGTGGATGTCAGAAGTTATACACCTTTTCTGCTTGTGTTTTCAGCTGAGAGATGTTCAAAGAGCAGAAGTCCTCTGCTTCATATCTCAAAGTTTAAAGACAACTGATCTTAACCACAGAATTTAGCATTCTTAGTGGAAACCTTGGCTTCTGCATACCAGACATTCTTGAAGAAATTATAAATTCAGCATGATTTACTCTCTTTTGGAAATCAGGAATATGCTGCTATCAGTTGTGTTGTTGGCTCAGGCCTTCAGGGTCTTCAGGGTTCCTGATAGTGCTGTTTATTTTTTCAGCAGTTGTAGTGTTGGTTTTTTATGTCACTCTCAGCTGCTATTGTGTTTTTACAACAACTGCCAGGAGGGCAAACCGCACTATATCTGGGTAAAATTCCCAAAACTTAAGATAAAGTTGAGGCCATCCTAACATCCCGGTGACTCAGCCTCCAACTAGAGGCGCTGAAGCCCGTTGGCTGCAGGAGGGTGCTAAGCCCAAGGCGCCTCATGGTTATTTTACTCCCAAACCAAAATCGTGTAACTCCACTCCTGGTCCATGGATCCCGGTAAAAAGCAACACCAGGCTGAAGAAGAAATCCCCTCCACACCGTCATTCCGTTGGAATTCTTCTTTCCAATAGCTTCAGCCCTCTGGATGAGCAGGACTCCCCCCTGCTCCCCACACCGGAGCGGCGAGTGCTTCCACCATGGCAGACAGGTGTGCCTCGATGCTCTCCTCCTCCGCTCCCTTCGCTTCCCCATTTTAGACATCAAGTCCTGGATGGCAGCCATCTTCCTGCAGCTCAACCAGAACAAAACTGAGGTTTTAGTTATTGGTCCTGAAGGCCAGAGAGAGACACTTTTACCAAAAAGACAAGATTTTAAAGTATCAACATCTGTAAAAAACCTGGGTGTAATTTTCGACTCTGAGCTCAGTTTTATTCCACACATCAAAAACATAGCAAAGGTAGATTTTTACCACCTTAAGAACATAGCCAGAGTCCAACCATTTCTCTCCCAGGCCAGCACGGAGGTGCTGATGCATGCTTTTATCTCCTCTTGTTTAGATTATTGTAATGCCCTGCTCTCTGGCCTCCCAAAGAAGAACTTACATACACTTCAGCTATTACAGAATTCAGCTGCAAGAGTGCTGACAAGGGCCAGAGGGCGAGAGCATATAGCGCCAGTTTTAGCATCGCTCCATTGGCTCCCCGTCAGGATTGATTTTAAGGTTCTTTTAATAGTTTTTAGATGTATTAATGGTCTTGGCCCCTCCTATTTATCTGATTTACTTTTACCATATCAACTCTCGCAGACCCTGAGGTCCTCCGGCACACGCCTTTTAACCTTACCCAGAGTCAAAACAAAAACGCACGGGGAGGCCGCTTTCAGTTTTTATGGTCCCTGGTTGTGGAACAGCCTGCCGGACAGCCTAAGGGCCCCAGAGACTGTTGATAATTTTAAGAAGAGGCTCAAGACTCACATTTTTAGCCAGGCTTTTTACTGATTGCCTTTTATATTTCTCTTATTGTAAATGTTCAATTTAATCAAAGTCCTTAGTGTTTATTTTATGTTATTCTATTCATTATCTCTGTTCTTAGTCTTTTTTTTTTGATTTCCCGTCACAGGTTTTTACTTCTTTTACCCCTTTTACTTTTATTATTATTTCTTATTTTAGTTATTATTTATATCAGGTTTTACTCTTTTCACCATTTTTATCTCTATTTTTATCTCCAGTGTTTCCTAAAGGTAGCTCTTTCCTCCTGTAATGTCTCGGTGTCAGGCCATGTCTCTTCATGTCTCAACAATATATCTTAAATTCTCACACTGCGTGCGGTTGTGTGTGTGTGTATGTGTGGGTGAGTGAGTGAGGGTGGGTGTGTGTCTTTGTGTGCGTGTGGGTCCATGGGTGTGTGTGTGGGTGGAAGGGTTGGGTTTTTGTCATTATTGTTGTTTTTAGCCTCTGTGAGGCACTTTGAATTGCATTTCCTTTTGTATGAAAAGTGCCATATAAATAAAGTTGAATTGAATTGAATCAGAGAAGACCTTCATATTTCACTCTGTAGTTGGAGTCACTGCATGGGCTTAATATCACTTGTCCTGTCCTGAGGTCTGATCAATCAAAATCTAACGCTCTTTTGGAAAAGACAACTGGACTTGGGACTAAGACAAAACATTCCAAGTAAGTCCAGTTACCCTTTCAATAAAGAACTGGAAATCATAGATGCTGCATCCTCGGTTATAAACAAATTCTCCAGGTTTAGGAGCAACATCTGCTGCCATCCAGACAGAGACTTTTTCAGGGAAGATCTTCATATGATCCCAAACCACATTCTGACAACAGGGATTGCAACTGAATGGCTCTGTAGGAGAAAAGTCCTGGACTGATGCAGTCCTGACTTGTCCCTAATTGAAAACATTTGGAGCACCATGACCCCAAAAACAGGGCCAAGGAGACTGAACTGTTGAGCAGCTGAAATCGTCTTTCAGGCCAGAATGGGACAAGATTTAGACTCTAGGAGCTGGTCTCTGAGGAGCAGGAGACCACCAAACAACCATAAACGATCATTCTTATCTGCATCATGATAACTGTGTTTGTCCTACTTCACTGTCTTCCTGCGCTTTCCTCCTCAGCTTGAAGAACTGTTCTGATCGATATCTGACACTGATCCTGCATTGTGGTTTAAACAAAACAGCATCCCAGATCTGTTCAGATCGACAAAGAGAGAGTTTATTATTATTTTAAGGCTGATTTAAATCTGTTTTTTTACCCTTATGAGGGTGTGTCCTCCACCCTGTCCTTAAAACACACATGCCCCCATTAACTCACGTACCCTCACATATAGTACCATCAGAGCCTGAGAGGAAAAACCCCAAACAGCAACCAAAGAAAAACAGAGAGCATGAATGAATGAATGAAAGAGAGAGAGCTGTGTAAACATGAGTCCTGCAGACAAATGAGACTCCCTCGGTTTGTTATGACAGTCTTCAGCCTGACAGAGACAGACGATGAACGGATTAGTGTGAGAAAAAGAGAGGGACACAATGACAGGGAGAGATGGAGCAGTGGGCGGGGCTATAAGAAGGGCGTGATCTCTTAAAGTTCGAATTTAACTTTGAGTTTTGGGTTGTAAAAGTCCAGATTTCTGATCAAAGCTGGATCAGTAATCTGACAGAGTGATCGTTTAGTGAGAGGTAATCATTACAGACACACTCAGGCAGAGGTCAAAGGTCAGCAGCGAGTTAAAGATCTGCAAACACAAGCAGGGGTCAACACACAGACAGGCAGATTCACACTAAAGCATCTTTGTGAGTGAATGCATGAATGAATAAGTGAAAGCATGAATAGGTGAAAAGGCTTCACCGCTGAGATGAATCCTTTCTTTCTCTTCTCACCAAACTTTCCCGTCCTTTAACTGAACTCATCATTTGTGTTTTTTCTGTATTAATTCTTTTTATTCTGTATTAATTTTCCACCATAGACATTCAGTTAGAGTAACTTGCAAACAACCAACATGTTGTCACTGTGCACTCATAATCCATGCATCAGCTGTTTGACCAATAATAGACTTGCAGAAATGATCATATCTGCTGGTATGAACATTCATTTCAAGACAATAACATGCATCAAGTTTTCAGATCTTTAAACACAGAGCTGATGTACATTGGGTTCAGAATATGTTGATATGTACAAATATTAAATAACTAGTTCTGTTTAAGAATAACTGCAGCAGGGATAACAGAGGTCATGAGTTAAAGGTCTGACTCCAAAAACTCAAAGTACGTCCATAATTAAAGGTAAGACTGCAACCCTATAACTGTGCAGCTCTCCTTTAACACTTCAGAAACAGTAACAGTAAAAACCATGAAACAGAAAACTGACATTAATCTGAATAAATCAATAATTTCCAGATTAGATTTCCTTAGCCAATAACGACATATACCCTGGTACTTGTGTAAGTTAATTTGACTAATCTAATATTATAAGTTTTTATGTTTATTCTTTTTCTGTTCTACCATGACTTGGATAAATCTTGGATAAACACTTGGGTTTTTCCGTTCTCTCTCTCTCCTCTTCATCCCCTCACGTCTGAATGTCTTTGTCTTTAAATCCCATCACCCTCTGATCCACAGTGACCCCCAGTGATCTCAGTGGGATAGGGTCGGGACCTGCTCTGTGTGTGTCTGTATGTGCCAAAAGCTAATGGGAGTAAGCACAGAGGTCAGAGGTCAAGCGACACTAATGATGACGCTCATAACAGCATGCGCGTGTCACACAGCGAGAAATATAGCCATAGCTGATCGTGTGTGAAAGTGATGTTGAATCACTGTGAGGGTCACACAAGCTGCTAATAACAGAAACATGCCAAATGACCGAACTCAGTATTTAAAGGTTTATTCTGGTGTTTTTAAACTTCAGACTAAATCTAATTAGTTTGTTTGTATTAAAAGTCTAAATGATGTTTACAAGGTGTTCCTGAAATTTGTGGGAAAAACATCCAAAGACAATTTTTATGGATTATACATCACATTTCATTAGCCAGAGAGGCCTCAAAATACACTTTGTTTACTGTTTATCTCCTTAAAAAAGCATTCAGAGGGCGCTCTGTTTACACTGATTTCGTAAAACAGCATCCAAAGGGTGCTTTGTTTATATTGATCCAGTAAAAAAATAATTCAGTGGGCGCTGTGTTTACACTAATCCAGTAAAAGAGCATCCATAGGGTGCTTTGTTTATATTGATCCAGTAAAAAAATCATTCAGAGGGCGCTGTGTTTACACTAATCCAGTAAAAGAGCATCCATAGGGTGCTTTGTTTACACTGCTATAGTAAAAGAACATCCAGAGGACACTCTGTTTACACTTATCCAGTAAAACAGCATCCACAGGGTTCTTTGTTTACACTTATCCAGTAAAACAGTATCCATAGGATTCTTTGTTAAGAGCATCCCTAGGGTTCTTTGTTTACACTTATCCAATAAAAGATCATCCAGAGGGTGCTCTGTTTACACTTATCCAGTGAAAGAGCATCCACAGGGCACTCTGTTCACACTGATACAATAAAAGAGCACCCAGAGGGGCATTAGAATATTAGTAAAATATTCTTCGTAAGGCCTTTTGTTTACATTCGATCATAGGAATAGTCTTTGTGACGCACTTTGTTTACATTTGAGCTGCTGGGTATTGTTTTATGTTGAACACCAGAGAGGGCGCTTTATAACGTTTTGACTTCCACTTGAGCATCCAAAGGTAATTTTGCTGTATTTTCCTCAGACAGTAGGACACCAGCGGGGTCCTGGTCTGGTTTTGGGAGACAGATTTCATGCACAGTGGGGGGAAGATAATGAATTTAGACTTCTGTCAGCCCAGCCACTGAAATTGAGGTCCTGCCTCAATGACGAAAACCTTCATTAATCACAGTTTAACTTGTGTGCATCATTGTCAAAAGGTCATAGACAAGCATTTATCATAATATTGGAGTAAATGATATAGACACTCGTCTGTGAACAGGGTTGGGCTTTGTTTTAAAGGTGTAAGAGTCTTTTGTTTGAACTGAAATCGTATTCTTTATTTTTCTGTCCTGTAGCCTCTTTGTCATCTTGTTTGACCCTAACATGAACACAACGCCTTCTTGTAACTCTGTTGTGTCTCTGTAATCAGATTAATATTTCCGATGATTCAGTTTGTTGTACCCACATGCTTCTTTAAATGAATGAAGAAAGCCTCAGAGGGAGGATCCGGCTCGCCAGCTTTCCCGTCAGTGAAACTATTTTTTTTATCACTGACTCGAGAAGAGGAAGGAGTCTGTTAGTCACTGCGATATTAAATTACACAGCAGCTTGAACCCGGTCCAATTCAAACAGACCGGCGTTCCTTTCCAGCCTATCACAGCATTCCTTCCCGCCCACGGAATTCCTCTCAGCCAATGATAGATGAGCACTGAGTGACACAAGCGGTATTCCATTCATTCCAGAGCGCTGAGCGTTGAAGCAGTGGTTTGCTGTTTCCTTTTTTTCTCTTTCTCTCATTTGTCCACCCCTCCACCCCTCCCTCTTTGTTTCTGCTGTGTGTGTGTGTGTGTGTGTGTGTGTGTGTGTGTGTGTGTGTGTGTGTGTGTGTGTGTGTGTGTGTGTGTGTGTGTGGGCTTTGGAATGTGAATGTGGGATGTGAGCAACTTCCTGTTTTTAGTTGTTAAGTAAATCCCTCCGGGGTTTGTGTGTATGTGCATGTGTGCGTGCGTGCGTGCGTGCGAGTGTGTGTGTGTGTGTGTGTGTGTGTGTGTGTGTAAGAGAGAGAGAGAGAGAGAGAGAAAGTAGAAAAGTGAATGGCAGACTGAGAGGAGAAGCATGTGGTCAAAAGTAAGTGGACACCAGAACAGTCCTGCCTAATAGTGGTTTTATCAAAGAGTCTGAAATCATGTGCAGTTTTGTGAACCTTATATTATTAGTAAGTCAAGTTTTGGAACTCCACTGTCTGTTTCATTAAATCCAAAATTCTGTATCCCAAATCCTCAGGGAGACACTGTGTCAAATGATAAAACAGACAGGACTCTGGAGTAGAAATCACCGTATTGACTCTAGATAACATCCAAAAACAGTGACTGAGAACACACTTCATCACTGCATCCACAAATGAAGTTCAAACTGAACCATGAAAAGATAGAGACAGGATCCAGAACCACCAGGGACTTCTCTGGACCTGAGCCGAGAGGGTAGCCAACTTCTGGCAGAAAATCTGACCTGATTCAAATTTGAGATTCCTTTTGGAAATCATGGAAATGTCATTCTTTAGGAGGAGAGGGAAAAACCAGCTTGTTATCCACACACAGTTCAAAGTCGGTATCCCTGATAGAAGAGGGATGCATAAGGTTCATGACATGACATGACTCTGCAGTGGGAGTCACTGCATGGGCTCAAAATACTTCTACCCGGCAAGATTGTAGATCTTGTTGGATTTCATGGAAACAGAAATGGATGACTGTGCTTTTTGGAAATCATGGACACAGCCAAACATGGCACTGACTATTTCAGGGAAGACCTTCATATGATCCCAAACCACATTCTGATAACAGGGATTACAACTGGGTCCATAGGAGAAGAGTCCTGGACTGATGCAATCCTTACTTGGAAACATTTAGAGTGTCATGACCCCAAAAACAGGACCAAGGAGACCCTGAACTGTTGAGCAGCTGAAATCCTTGATCAGAAACTAGTCTTTCTTCTTTGAAACATTTTTCAAGGTTGTCATTTTGGCCACGGGGTTACTGATGTTTACTTCCTCATGTGTTTGCATCCTGCCTTTAGCTGTGCTCACTTTAGAAGAGCTGATGTTCATAATTAGGCTGAGATCATCAGTTTAAACAAACTAGACAGTAAAACATTAGAAAAACTGTAGAGCTTTAACATGGACCCTCTGTTTAAACCTCTGCATCAGTTTGTGTCCGTTAAACCTTTAACTGTTGTTTTTTATTTGATGATGATAAATGAGTCCATACAGCTCAGTCTAAACCGTCTTAAGGAGGTCAAAGGTCAAATTCACACACCTGAACTCTGTAACTTTGCCAAAGGGCAGAAACAGACTGTATGAACAGGAAAAGGAAGTACACAAGAGCGTGAGTGTGACTAAATTGTTGTCAGATTATCACAACACTGCCGTCAGCCTGTTAGCTGTTAGCAGAGGAAGCTAACCGCTGTGTGACAGAGTGTGTTTGTTTTAAAGAGGCCACATATATAAATACATCCGCTCTGTGGAAATGGCCTGTTAAATGGATGAATACACAGATAGGGAGAGAGAGAGAGCGAGGGAGAGAGAGCTTGGATGTGTATGTTTGTGTGTGTGTGTGTGTGTGTGTGTGTGTGTGTGTGTGTGTGTGTGTGTGTGTGTGTGTGTGTGTGTGTGTGTGTGTGTGTGTGAGTCCATCAGAGTGGACAGCTCACACTGAGCTCCTCCATGAGGTCGAGTCGTGCTCACCTGTCAGGTAAACACTAAGCACTCATGTCCTCCTCACTTTGCTCTGTTTGTTTTGTGCATGAAGGAACCTGAGCTAACCACAGAGGATGTCACCGTGGAAAACAGCCACCAGTGTCCACAGGGTTTAACTGCAAGGTGTCAGCATTCATGAGGAACAGGCTGTCTTTTTATTTAAAAATGTTTGCCACATTAAAAACAGACAGGACTCTGGAGTGGAAATCACTGTGTGGACTCTGAATCACTTCAAAATCCATTGACTGGAGAACAAAGTTTATCACTGCATCCACAAATGAGGTTCAAGCTGAGACCAGATAGAGACAGGATCCAGAACCACCAGAGACTTCTCTAGACCTGAGTCCATTTAAGGTGGACTAAATGTTCCCCTGGTCTGATGAATCTATATTTAACACCCTTTGGAAATCATGGATTTGGCCTCTGAAGAAGGAGATCCAGGAGCCCAAGGTTTTTGACAAATGCAGTCTGGTCTGTTAGGAAACTGGTGTGTTCACTATCCCACAAACAGTCTAAATGTGTCCTCAGGGGTCCATTTAGGTCCACAAACAGAGGAGTGGACAGACTCTCCTGTCAGCTGGGCTTGGCGGTCTCATGGGCTTGTGATAATAACAGATCTGACAGACGTTAAAGGTTTAGTCCATGGTTTTTCAAACAAACATTCACATTAAAAGGTTTATAAAATCAGCTCTAATCACAGAGAGATTAATGGATGTGAGCTAAACTCTGGGACACACCCATTATAGTCACACACACACACATACACACACACGCGCACGCACGCAAAGTCTTCCCCCTACTCAGGATTTCTTTTCTTCTCACAAGGCCACCCTGAGGTCACAGAGCTGAAGTTTGACCTTTGACCTTCTTACCACTAACTGATGGTAATGTTTAGTCATCGAGGAATTGAATGCTGTTGTTCTGCTGCACTGAAACACACACACGTACACACAAGAACCCACACACTCAGAGGTTTTCTCTCTACAGCTGATTTACAGTTCGCATCAAGTGACTGTGTGTTTGTGTTTGTGTGTGTGTCTGTGTTTGTGTGTTTTTGTGTGTAATATCAATCTTCAGTTCCTCAGGCAGCTCTGCATTAAAAACAGAGTGGACTCTAGAGTGGAAATCACCGCACATACTCAGAATCACTTTAAAAACCATGAACTGTGAAGTTAGTTCATCACTGCATCCACGAATGAGGTTCAAACTGAGCTCCTATGAACTAGTTTGGCATGATCCATCTGTTTCCATGGAGGAGTTGGGTTTATGAAGTCACTAGGCTTCATTAGTTTGGCTTCACTTTTGAAGAGCAGTCCATTGTTTGATACAGAACATGTTCAGTTCCAAGAAGCACATTAATTTGAGATTTAATAAAACTGACTCTAAAAGGAGAGGAGAAAGTGCCAAAGTGACCAATCACAGCTCTCCTGGGGCCTCATGTATCAACGCTGGTGGCGCCAGAAAACCTTGCGTTCGCCAAGATCGGCGCACACGTCCAGATTTATCATCGCTACACCAGCGTCGGTTCCAGCGCAAATCCACGCAAAGTGAGGAGGTGGTGTAGAAGTTGGCATTGAGCCGATACTTGCGTTGACGGCACTTTGGCGACGCTGTGTGGCGGTGTTTGGTGACTAGCTATGTGACAAGCGTGCACCACATCCCCGTGGCCAAGCAGCACGTCACCCCACATGACGAACCAGCAGCAGACGGAGGGATGCGAGCTGATCCCTGCCGGGCCGCCGTCCTCGCGCGGGAGAATCTCATCGCCACAATGTGAATGGGTAAGAAGTGAATACACAGTTCAATGAGCCAAATTAATTTATTTTCGCCACCAGACGCTCGAGGACATTTACGAGCCAGTCCAGCCGCTCGTTGATCCCAGCGACCCCCCTAATGATTTGTTCCTGCGATTGCAGGACCGTCCCCGTGAGGACCCTTCCACTGCGTCCGGGTGGTCCAGCGGAAGCGCCGCGGCTGGTGGACGCTCCACTGCTTGTCGGCGCGCTGGTGCCGGTGCCGGTGCTGGTGCTGAGGCCACGGGCCGGGGTTCCGCAAGCCAGCGACACGGCCGACACATCGATTTCTGTGACACAATAAAAATATTGGTTCATTTCAATTCCTGCTTCTGTGTATCTGTTGCGTTTACATCTATGGCAAAGCATGTGGACATTTGTGTGACACGCCACTTACCCTCCAGCAGGCTGTCTGAGTCGCCGCAGGTAGCAGCGACAATCCCCCCCACAGAGGCGCCCCCCATAATCGCCACCACCCACTGCTCAAACGGCGTGAGGGTCTCCTCCCCCGGACCCCCACCTGTCTGGCCGATACTCCACCTTGAGGTCCGACCACTTTTTTTTAATCTCCGCGGGGGTGTGTGTCTCGGAACCCACCGCTTTCACCCTCTCGCAAACTTTCTCCCACTCCAAGCGTTTTCGTTTTGCACTGACGCCACTGGACAGGCTGCCAAACAAAACACGCTGTCGCTCCTCCACCTCCGCCACCAGCACCTCCACCTTGCACGCCGTAAATTTAGTTTTTCCTGTCATTTTGTCTGCGTGCGAGGACAGGGAGACCCTATTTAAATAAATCTGCATATTTATAGGTGGGCGTAACGGGGGCGGGCCCGGTCACTCCAAAATCTGCGCTCAATTCCAAGCTGATTGGGATTTATCAAGGAAACACACGTGGCTTTCGGCGCCCGCACACCTTGATACATACGAATTTTTTTCAGTGTGACGGACCTTGCGTGCGCTCGTTTCCGGTTTGAGTCCCACGCAATGTTGATACATGAGGCCCCTGGTGTCTGTATTTGTGTGATAAAGGAGGACGTCAGGCTCTGAGACATTGACAGGGAACACTAAAAATGTTGGCGGTCAAATCTGACGCTGCCCAAAATAAAGACACATTCATACACACACACACACACACACACACACACACACACACACACACACACACACACACACACACACACACACACACACACTTTAAGCCATTCCCTGGAAAAGCGATGACTGATGACTCTCTGCAGTGAGGACACTTGTGGTGTGTACGGTATGTATTCCTAGAAAGAGAGAGTAAGGTTATATAAGCTGCTGCTGCTGCTGCTGGCTGTGTGTCAGGACACTGTGTGAGTGTCTGCAGATGTCTGCACATTAAACTGCCTCTGCATTTTGTGGGCAGAGATTCAGGTTTCACTCAAGGGCAGCAGCAGCAGCAGAGATGGAAATACATTCTGATCTGATCTGTTAACTCTAATAACTCCATCAATAACATCAGATGATTTTTGTAAAATTAGAGGATAAAGTCATTAAACATGAGGACAACAGTTCTAGCTGTTCTTGTTTCTGTTTGTTTGGTTGAATTCCTGCAGGAGAAAAACAGTTTTTAAACTCAAATCTCAGAATTTCACTCTCATTGAAGTAAATCGTTTTTGTGAATGTGAGCAGCAGGATAACTGTGAGTCTCTCTGTTCTGTGTCCACCATTTAAGAAATCTCAGGCCCCATTCAGAGGGATGATGATGAGAGGAATAATGGTCGGATAATCGTCTCTGAGTTCTTGGACAACCTGTCTTCATTCTGTCACAGGTTCATGAAGGTATGGGCACACTTCTGATCTCATGATGTTGTCAGTCTAACTCTTATCTTTTGTTTCCACACATGAACCTCATCCTGTCCTCTTTTGTTTCCTATCTGCTCTGACACCTTCCCCTCACTGTAACTGTATACCTTAAAAATAACTACAGAGAAATTAGCCATTTAAAGGAATCAGTATCAGTTTCAGTCATTTCTGGACTACTTAAAACTCCTCATTGTGTCTTTCAAGGTCAGAGATCAAAGTAATAAACATAAGGATGAAGTGACCTTTACACCTCTGGGAGGGTTTTTACTCTCCTGAACCTCCCAGTCAGAGAAGATGACAGAGAGGCTGAGAGTCCTCCCTCAGAGATAACCAATCTCACATTCCTACCTCAGAGATTTGAATAAGATTTGGGTTCCTGTAAACTCGCCCTCAGGACCGATGGGGCTGATAGGAAACAGGAGGAGCAATAACAAACAGAGGCAGTTAATGTGTTATCATGTGTTTGTGTGCAGGAGTCTAAACCATAAACCAGCACAGACAGACTCACCTCCACACCCATCATTTCTTAAGTGAGCTCCACAGATTCAAAAGAAGGTTTCATTTCACTAATCCTTGTGTTGCTATAAAAATGTCCTGTTAAACCTCAAATATAAATTCACAGTAAAATATGGCACAGAGGTCACAGACCTAAAACACGGTAAAGATCTGGATCAAAGTCAGGCTTACTGATGGATAAACTGCAGTTAACTCACTGGCCCTCATTTATCAAGCTTGCGTACAGCAGAAAACTTGCGTACGAAAATTTTGACGTGAGGATCGGCATTTATCAATCTGCACGTGAGCGTACGCTACGACCAAATCTCACGACAGGTCTGACATTGTGTCGCAAGTTTGAGTCAGTGTGAATCTGCGGTGCAGCAAATGTCTGTCTCAAAATAATTGATAAACAAACCTCAAACCTGTCATTAAGCACAATCAGCTAGATTTCATTAAAGATTAAGATATAAATAAAATAAAGTAAAATAAAATTAAATTGTTATGTCCTTAGTGAATAGGCCTATTTGATAACTGCCCCAAAACACTGCCCTAGAGCAGGAGCGCCGTTTCAACATTACGCACACATGCACACGCGCCACTGTGGAGCGTTGCGTTTTACTCCTAAAAGGCAGGTGTCTCTGTCTTGGCCCAAAAGCGGGGACGTTGTTGTACACTCCTGAAAGGTTGTGGGACAATGTTGCACTGGTGAATGGAGTGCCGTTGGCTGTGCCGGTGCAACGTGAGGCCCCGGTGCCCGGAGAACAATAACAGGGAGAGAGACTCCACAAAGGTGCTGTACAGAGGAGACAGGACCTTATCGATGGATTCTGACATGTATAGTATGAGTTAAGAAAGTGCTCTTGCTATTTATTCAGTGATAAAAATCCAATAGAAATCCATAAAAATGTGCCTCAGGGGCAGCAGCACACTGTTTGGTGACGTTAATAATTATTTTTGTTCAGCCTCTGTCAGACTCTCCAGTCTGCTCTACATTACAAAGACGCAACAAATTAAAACTAAATACTTTCAATAATAGGAGCAACGCACCCTATGTCATGGCAATAAAAAATATGAGGCATGTATGAGATATTAATTCATCATCATGAGCAACTTATTGACCAATGATTTATTCAAACTTAAGCCACTGTTCGCTATTCCGCGGCAGCGCTGTTCACCGCCACCATAATCCTGCTCTAGACAGGAGTTTTCTGGACTGCTTTTATACCAGTTTTGATGCTTACAAAGAGAAAATCCTTGTTAGTTTCCACCACAGACATGTGATAATTTTAGAAGTCTCTTTTTGAACAAAACTTTTACACATTCGTCTGACTATTTTTCACTTTTGAAGCTCTCTGCAAACCTGCACGGCTCCTGAGGTGTTTGAGTCCTCACTGTAACCTCTCAGTGATGTCTCAACACGCTCGCCTGCTGCCATTAAGACTCTAAATTCCTGGCAGTTACTCAAGAAGGCTGGTATTGAAATTTCCTGCTGCTGGAGGATAAATATTTGCATGGTATTTGCATATGACTGAAAGTCAACCCGCGGCCACCATTAGGGGGTTTTACACCTGAGTGATGAGGCAACCCAGCCGTTAGAGAACATTCCTGTCAGGGCAGCATTTATCTCTGCTGCAGCTTATCTGAGCTGGCAGTAACAGAGGGCGGGGCTCAAGAGGAGGAGGGTCTACGTGCACTGTCCTCTGTTTAGTTTTACGTGTTTACAGTCAGACCTGAAAGCCTGTTATGCACACCTGATTTTTAAAAAAAAGGACAGGAAGTAACAAACTTAAGAGAAACAACCAAGAAAAAAGTTCTGCTGTTCAACCGCTCAGAAAACTTTTATCAAAACCAGAACTTTAACTCCCTAGAATCGTTATATCTACACGCTGCAGCTAATTTATCTAATTTATAAAGGAAACTCTCAGACAGCAGGTGGAGATGGAATTTCGATTTTGTCAGGACTTTGAGGTTAACATGCTGGTTCAGATGGCTAAAATAATGTTGTATGAACTACCATGTTGCTGTTTGCATAATAAGTCCCTGTGTGAGACTCTGTCCTGCTGTTTTAGATTAATTTATCTGCATTACAGTCAATCCAGATTTGACCACCCACACTTTTACACTGTAAAAACAAACCCAACACCTCTTCAGAAAGAGAGCGAGAGAGAGAGAGAGAGAGCGAGAGAGAGAGAGAGAGAGAGAGACCACTAACCTTTGAAAGAAGCTCAAACTGAGTTCAGAGTTTGGTATAAACTTCAAACGGCCTCTCTGTCTGCTCTTGTTTAGTTTCTTTACAGAGTAAAAGAGAGAGAGAAATGATCTAAATCAACATTTACTATCACTTTTTAACCAAGTTCATGATGAGTCAGAAATACTGAATTGTTTGAATTCAAATTTCTGGCAGTCCAATGATCTGTGAGGCCGATGCTGTGTGAGGATTCTGATTGGCTGACAGATGAAGCAGCTCCACAGCTCATCCAGAGACCACCGTGACTGTCAGAATAAGAGTCCTTTAGTTTTAACAGGGCTGCTGTCAATGATCAAGCTCTGTCAGACTTAATGACTGCAACTCACAAAGACGCTCGGCTGCTTTTAGTCTCACCCTAAAAAGAAGAGAATTACCGTCGGCCCGGCTGCCCATTCAGAACCAGATTTATGGTCCTCCCAGTGAAGAGATGAGCTTTAGTCTAACTAAACCCAGAACAACAAACTTCACAAACTTCACTTTAGGATGTTTTTGTTAAAGTTGTTCATGTTCATGAGAAACTGCTTTCTGGGGGTCCACTTTCTTCGTTGGGTTTATAGCTTGTGGCCTTCAAATCCTAGAGTTACCTTACAAAGCCAGTTCCTTTATTTCTACACTGTTTTGATTTATTCTGTTAACTACACACGATCATTATAAGATGCTGATTTTAAAACAAAATGCCTGACTTTGACTTTTCCCTAAAACTTTAGACCATACAGATCATTTCCAGAGTTTTCTGTATTAACAGGATGTCAGACTCACAGGCAGATACACAGCCAATATAAATACAATAGCCCTCATTTATTAATCTTGCGCAGATCTGAGCGCAGGATTCATCCTACGATAGGACACACGTGCGATTTATGAAAGGGTTCGTATCTGACCAATCCCACATACGTATGATCGGGTCTTGATAAATGCGGCGGCTGAAATCAATCGTCAAAAACACGTTAACGCCCTTAAATATTCGTGGTTCAGAGGCCTCGCCCACTGAGGTCAAACATGAAAGAATAGAAAATTTCAAAGATGCGAAACTTTTCCGAGCTGAAAGTGGATATCCTCGTGTCTGTGGTGGAAACTATCAAGGATTTGCTCTTTGGAAGCATCAAAACTGGTATAAAAGCAGTCCAGAAAACTCCTGTCTGGAGCAGGATTATGGTGGCGGTGAATAGTGCTGCCGCGGAATAGTGGACAGTGGCTTAAGTTTTAATAAATCATTAGTCAATAAGTTGCTCATGATGATGAATCAATATCTCATACATGCCTCATATTTGTTTATTGCCATGACACAGGGTACGTTGCTCCTATTATTGAAAGTGTTTAGTTTTAATTTGTTGCATCTTTGTAATGTAGAGCAGACTGAAGAGTCTGACAGAGGCTCAACAAAAATAATTATTAACCTCACAAAACGGTGTGTTGCTGCCCCTGAGGCAAATTTTTATGGATTTGGATTTCTATTGGATTTTCATCACTGAATAAATAGCAAGAGCACTTTCCAAACTTATATTTTACATCAGAATCCATTGATAAGACCCTGTCTCCTCTGCACTGCACCTTTGTGGAGTCTCTCCTGGTTATTGTTCTCCGGGCATCGGGTCCTCACGTTGGACCAGCTCAGCCAGCAGCACTGCATTTGCCAGTGCAACATTGTGAAAAACTGTACTGGCCCAAATGATGTCCCACAACCTTTCAGGAGTGTACAACAACATCCTCGCTACTGGGCCAAGACAGAGACACCTGCCTTTTAGGAGTCAAACGCAGCACTCCACAGTGGCGTGTGTGCGTAATGTTAAAACGGCGCTCCTGCTCTGTGGCAGTGTTTTTGGGCAGGGTTATCAAATAGACCTATTTACTAAGGACATAACAAATCTATTTTATTTTATTTACATCTTAATCTTTAATGAAATCTGGCTGATTGTGCTTATTGACAGGTTTGAGGTTTGTATATCAATTATTTTGAGACAGACATTTGCTGCACCATAGATCCATACTGACTCAAACTTGCGTACACAATGTCAGACCTGTCGTGAAACTTGGTCGTAGTGTACGCTCACGTGCAGATTGATAAATGCCGATCCTCACGTCAAAATTTTTGTACGCAAGGTGTGCGCAAGTTTTCTGCCGTATGCAAGCTTGATAAATGAGGGCCAGTGTTTCTGACAGCTGTTAAATCTGACTCACAGCTGATCCAGCTGTGATCAGCTGATGCCATCATCAGTCTAACACTCCAGAGGACAGGGCTTCTCATCTCTTTTAACAAACTCCCTCATCCCCTGGTTCCCTCTCTCCTCTCCTCTCCTCATTTCCTCGCACATCTCCTCGTTTCCTTGCACCACTACACGCATCTCCGGTGGGCGGGACTACGACAGAGTGAGTGCTGCAAGCATCAAACTTCTGAGCTTTGAAACGTAGCTTTGCGCTCTGGGAAATTTCCAGAAAATTTCAGGAGCTTTGACCTTAATCTGCTGTTCACTAAGTTTTACTCTCACAGTGTGAAAAATATAGAAAGGAGGTCGTTTTAGATTACGTTTTAGAAGACCTTTCTTTAGTGCTGTCACTCTTTTTTATTTTGCTCCATGCTTTTATTTTGAAATCGTGTCCAGGACCGTTCTTTTCATTTTCACATGTTTGTAAGCAGGATGAGCAGGATAGTGAAAACAGCTTTAAAAATGTCATTGTCATGATGTTGTTCTTCATGAGGGATGAAATTTTCTATTCCGGTTGAGCTCTTTTTTATTGGATCTGCTCATTTTAAAACTCTCTTCTGTTAAAAATCACCAAAATGAATCTTAGCACAGGACATGACAGATTAAAATAAGTGCATACGTCCATTATAACTTTATCATGTTCATTTAAGGAGTGTTGTGTTCATAATTTCATCCCCTTCTCTTATTATCTCGTTGTTGATTTCCATTGGATGATCAAACTCTTTAGACATTGATGCAGCAGAGGTCTAAAGTGCAGAGAAGTAAAAGTGCATTTCCTGACAAACAGCCTCTGAAGGTCTAAAGTAGTTTCAAGTCTCAGTTTGAGTCCCGGTCTTGTGCTTTAGTATTAAACCGTTTCTAAATGACTGGGTTTCACACATTAGCGATGATGGATGGTTGTGGTATCAGTCGGTTAAAAGCTCAGTGTTTCCGCTGCACTCAAATGACTCACTGAATACTCCATCAGGCTCCACCACAGCCTGTTTGAGGTTGTTTGTTAGAGAGAGTCTGGTGACGAGGTTAGCTGAGGACAGTGTGCACACAGCAGCAGGCCAACCACTGGAAATTCAACAGGACATGACTGACCTCCTCCAGCAAACCTGAGGACTGCAAGAAAACTGCATGTTCATGAGATCTATGGTTTACTGTAGAGCGCCTATGATGAAAAAATTATGCACTTAACATCAAATCTGATCTACTCCTGACTTCAGTGAGAAACTTGAATACTCATCGAGCCAGAAACCTCAGAGCCTCTGATCAGTGTCTTTACTTCACCCTCTCTGAGAATCTGCAGAACTTCCCCTCCAGGTTTTCAGGAGGCTGCTGCTGCAGAATTTTCTCTTCTGGGTTATTAGGTTTGAGATTCTGGTTCAGCGGTTTGAAGTGGTTAGTACGAGATATTTAATCCATCTGCTTTCTTATTTTCTGGTTTCTCATTTGTACCACCCTCATGGACTCGCTCAGATATGTTGTTGTGGTTTCCTGTTCTTGTTATTTTTGTTCTCACCTCCACCTACGTGACAGATTTCTAGAGCGGTGGATTTTTTTTCCAGCGAGAGGGTGGGAAAATGATATTTCTGCGTTTTTTCATCACGAGAGACGCAAGCAGCTTGTGGTTGGACAAATTTGTGGGAAGAGTTTAAATTTCAATGTCAGGCGGGTTCTTTCTTTCTTTTTGTTGTTGTTGTTGTTGTTGTTTTTATCATATTTTTACATTTAGTGCCAGAACTATAGTGTTGTAGTTCTGACTGAATTACAAATGTAAAAGTTTGACCCAGACTTGAAAGTCCAATCTAACTCTCTGCATGTGTCAGACAGCTCAGGCTGACCTTCAGCTGTGGCTCAGGTGTGGACGTGGAGTTACCATGACCGTGAACAGTCGGCTCTGAGAGGGGAAAGATGTGGTGTCAGAAAACCCCCACAGCTGAACCATGAAAGAGATGCAAATGAGGAGGTGGGTGTTTAGCAGAAGAGACTCTTTCTGGTCTTATTCCATCACAGATTAAAAGATCCCCTCGAACCCTCTGAGATCATTGATCTTGATCCTCTCTGATCAGAAACCACAAACCCAGACTTTCAAAGAGACTGAAGTTAACCTGAAGCTGCTATAAATGGAAGCATAGATGTTTGATATGATTCAGAAAACAAGACCAGAACTTTTCACTTCAGGGTTCATCTTGATTGTTCTGAAGACTCTTTGAATACAAAAAAAAAATCTACATTTCTTTGGAAGGAAGAGAAAAATACCTGAGTGTGAAATATGTTAATGCATTTTCCATCCAAAGTCCAAATCAAGAAAACAAAAAACCTGCGATCCCAAGAGTCTTTTAAACTTTGAACTTCCAGGGATAAAGACGTAAATGTTTGAGTTTAAAGTCATACATTTCGATACCTGCTTTACATGCCACTGAATCTGTATACCTGTCCCTGCAGATGGTGGGACTGGGCCTGACCTGGCCATGAACATCCCTCCAGGTCTTGCTCCAGGGGGGTTCTCCCTTTCCTTGTCGAAGCAGCTCAATCATTCAAATAATGTGCTTGAACCAAGAGGTTGCTGCAAGTCTGGTCTGTCTGTATTATCTGTAATTTTTGTAATGTTTTTGTTGTCATTTTGTTGGCTGCTGATGGATACTTCTGCTGGGTGAAAGGTTTACTCAGAGAAGAGCTCCTTTCATTAAGGAAAAGAAAATCTGGACAACAACATACAATTCTAGAGGGTGTTATCATGATTGCCGTACTGGTGCAAAGGTGAAGGCAAAGCTGAATGCTAGGAGGTGGTGATATAAACCCTTTCTTGCATCAATCATCATAGGAAACGTCAACTCTGCCCAACAAAAGCACTGAGCTGGAGATATTGGTGAAGACTAAGAAAGCATACCGTGAGTGCAATTTCCTGTGTTTTACTGAAACCTGGTTGAATCAAAACAACTCGGACTCAAGTGTGGATCTACCTGGCTTCACTCTCATAAGGTCAGACAGAGATGCTCAAGCTAGTGGCAACTAGAAAAGCACTCGGAGAGTGCAGACCTTCGCCAAGCAGCTCATGCCCCCCCTTAAACAAGAAATGCCCTGATTGGGTTTCAAACCCAGGACCTTCTGGTTGTGAGGCAACAGTGCTAACCACTACACCACTGTGCCGCCGATCTACACCACTGTGCCGCCCATTGGTTATCTTTCAGCATTGAAAATTCCAATGACACCCATATTTTTGTGTGTTCTGATCACAGTATCCAGAATTTTGTCCAAATCACCACCAAAATTTAATCCGTCTGTTACTTTCTCCTTAAAGTTGCTAACAGTCAAACAAACCAACGCTACCGAAAACATAACCTCCTTGGCGGAGGTAATAAGCAAGGAGGAGGTCTGGCTTTATTTGTCAACAAGAGATGGTGTAATCCTTCACACATAACTGTCAAGGAGCCCACCCAAACCAACTGAAGAAATTCCATGTGATGTTTTGCAAAATAGTGTTGCCAGGCTACAGATTCAACACCCAGAGGCACTAATATTAATATCAGGAGACTTTAACCATGTCACCCTCTCCTCTCACCTGATTGAATTCACACAGTTTGTGAACTGTCCTACCAGAGAAAACAAAACCCTGGATCTGCTGTATGCCAATGTCAAAGAAGCCTACAGAGTCACTGCCTTACCACCACTGGACAGATCATAACTTGGTTTATCTGCAAACCTGTTACAGACCTTGTGTACTGAGGCAGCCTGTGACCAAAGTCAAAATTAGAAGATGGACACCTCAAGCCAGTGAAGCTCTAAGGGACTGTTTTAAATCAACAGACTGGAATGTGCTGCTGGAAACAGATGTGGATACTATGAACACTGATAAACAGGTTGACTGCTTTACTGATTATGTCAACTTCTGTAGAGACACAGTTATACCCACAAAAACTGTTTGCTGTTTCCCCAACAACAAACCCTGGATCACAAGTGACATAAAAGCAATTCTTAACCAGAAAAAGAAAGTTTTTAAAGATGGTGACTAAGAACAACTCAAACAAGTGCAACAAGAGTTGAAGAGGAGACTGAAGATGGCAAAGCTGGAGTACAAAAAGAAGGTTGAGAAGAATCTACAACACAGCAACATCCGTGAAGTGTGGAGAGGAATCAGTACCATCTCTGGACACAGCAATAAAAAGAAAAGACAGCCAGTGGTGGATGATGAACTCAACCTGTTCTTCAACAGATTTGACACTGCTGTCACTCCCACTTCCACTGCTACTCCACCTTCCTCTCCGCAACAAATCTCCACTACAACTTCTCCTGTTCCTCCTCCATCTCATTCGAATGTCTCAACCACTTCAACTGCCTCCCTCCATGAACACCAGTCCTTGTCTGTCACCGAAACAAGGGTGAGGATGAAGCTTGGAAGACTTTGTCCTGGGAAGGCAGCTGGTCCAGATGGTGTGTGTCCAAGGCTGCTTAGAGACTGTGCTGCAGAACTGTGTCTCTCCACAAGATCTTCAACCTGAGTCTACAGCTGGGGCGGGTACCTGCTCTGTGGAAAACATCCTGCATTGTGCCAGTACCAAAAACAAAATGTCCTGCTGAACTCAATGACTACAGACCAGTGGCCCTCACTTCACACATCATGAAAACCCTGCAGCAGCTGATTCTACGCCTTCTGAGGTCCAAGGTCAAAGACAAACTGGATTCCCTGCAGTTTGCATACAAAGAACACATTGGAGTGGATGATGCTGTCCTCTACATGCCTCACCGTGCCCTGTTTCATCTAGAGGAACCTGGGGTTTATGTGAGGATCATGTTCTTCGACTTTTCAAGTGCATTCAACACCATCCAACCCACCATACTCAAAGACAAGCTCACAGAGATAGGAGTGGATCCTTCCTGTGTTTCCTGGATCACAGATTACCTGACAGGAAGGCCACAGTTTGTCAGGCTGGGGAACTGTGTTCCTGGGACATTAATGATCAGTACAGGGGCTCCACAAGGGACAGTGCTGGTGCCATTCCTGTTCGCACTGTATACATCAGACTTCAAATACAGCACTGAGTCCTGCCATATCCAGAAATACTCAGATGACACCGCTAGTGTGGCATGTATCAGAAATGGACAAGAAGCTGAATACAGAGATCTGATAAGAGCCTTCAGTGACTGGAGTCACAAAAACTGCCTCCTCCTCAACACCTCAAAGACAAAGGAGATGGTCACAGACTTCCGTAGATCCAAACCCCCTCTTCAGCCAGTGAACACCTGTGGAGTGGACATCAAAGACTCCGCTCAATAGAGATCTGTAGTAAGACGCTGCAGATGTTTTATCAGTCTGTGGTGGCAAGTGTTCTGTTCTACGCTGCAGTTTGCTGGGGAGGAAGCATCAAACACAAAGATGCAAGACGTCTTAACAAACTGGTGAAAAAGGCTGGCTCTGTGGTTGGACTCAAGCTGGACTGAGTGGAGGATGCGGTGGAGAGATCTACACTGAGGAAGGTGGAGACTATTCTAAAGAACATGGATCACCCACTACACAACACCTTGATGGACCAAAGGGCCAATGGTGGTGGACGGCTCCTCTCTCTTCACTGCAGGACAGAGAGATTCAAAAGATCTTTTGTACCAACAGCCACTAGACTTTATAACTCATATGTAAATAGTAGATAACTTTTAGAGACATATTATGTGAGAAAACAGACAATTGAATTTCCCTTTGGGGATTAATAAAGTTATTCTTACTCTTATTCTTATTCTGTTTTGAAGAGGTCGTTTTGATCAGTTTCTGTACAGCCCCTCCACTGGGACCACTCTGTCTTGGCGGCAGTCGCCATTTTGGAAAAGCTGACTCAGTTTCATTTTTGGTGGAGCCTGAGGATGAGTGTGCATCTTATTTAGGCTGACCATATTCTGAATCCCCAAAAAGAGGACACTATTATGTGGGGGAGGAGCTGTGTGCGTGCCACTCGAGTGTTTTTTTACCTGCTTTAAACTCAGTTAAACGTATATTCCTAATTCCTGAGACAGGCTGTACAGCCCCTCAAAAGAGGACATGGCCGGGTAAAAGAGGACGTATGGTCAACCTAGTCTTGTTTTAATATCAGTCATAACATAATGATATCATTCTTTAGTGAAGTGTATGCACGACGGACAACTCCAGATAATGTCAGGGTCTGCATGTCCTGGAATCATCTGCAAGCTTTGCAGAGATGCTGCATGAAAATGGCCAAAGTCCGTTCAACTGTATGATTGCATGCTTGATCTGGTACAGAAATAAAGTAAATGCATGTATAATTATTCATTGAAATGAAAACCAGGAGGCTTTATAGACTTCTCTGAGTGTCAAGTCTGTAAATTGGTGCATAAATAAGAAGTTGGTGTCAGCTCTGGTGTTTGTCAGTTTCATTTACTGGGATGGTGACACCTTTTCTCTCTTATCTTACCGTCTTTGGTTGAGGAGGAGGAGGAGGAGGAGGTGGTTGACTTTGATGCACAAGTTGTTGAAATTTCACTGGCATTAAAAATATCTTTAGTTTTTGTGGTTTGTTGAGCGGGGAGGTTCCAGGGCAGAGGGGGAGTCTGAGGAGAAACTGAGTCATTGAAGTGAAGAAAGAGAGAGGTGTGATTGAGAGGAACTGCAGAGTGGTCAGTTAAACCAGTGTGTGTGTGTGTGTGTGTGTGTGTGTGTGTGTGTGTGTGTGTGTGTGTGTGTGTGTGTGTGTGAGTGTGTGTGTGTGTGTGTGCGTGTGTGTAAAGGGGGAGGAATTATTGCTCACTCCTGCAGCTTACCCATCTGTCATTAACTGTAATTAAAAAAGCACTGACAGTTATTTTATAGGAGACACAAATGAAAGACAAAGAACAACAGGATAGATTAGTTCAAAGTGGATTTAATCATTCTGTGTTTTATAAATTCAATCCTCCAAACTTTATTGATACCAGCAGCCGTTGTCGGTGTTGTTTCAGGGACAGACCATCTGCTCGTGCATACCAGAAAGTGAAGGTTTTTAATCACCCAACAAAAAAGGGATAACAGGATAATCGTCCTGAAAGCTGCTTAAAGCCCCAAACTGACGACAACAGCAGAGAGTGTCCGCAGATTTCACTATCTGTATGTTCTTTATGAAATCCAACTGCTCAGACAAAAAGGTCAAATAACTAATTTCATAATTTTCTTACATCTCAATTCACAACTTTTTTTCTGCCTAAAGCATCAACAGTTACAGAAACAGAATTATCTTTACTGTTAACTCAGTGGATCTGGAGAACAGGGACAAGGACCAAAACCAATACTGGGAGAACCTAATCTTCAGGGCATTAAAACAGACAGGACTCTGGAGTGGAAATCACCACATGGAAAGGACAACTGGACTTACTTGAGACGTTTCGCCTAAGGTGCCCAAGGTAAAACGTCTCAAGTAAGTCCAGTTGTCCTTTCAATGAAGAACTGGAAATCATCTGCTGCCTTCAGACAAAGACTTTTTCAGGGAAGACCTTCATATGATCCCAAACCACATTCTGACAACAGGGATTACAACAGGAGAAGAGTCCTGCTGAGAAACTGGACTGATGCAGTCCTGACTTGACCCCATTGAAAACATTTGGAGCATCATGACCCCAAAAACAGGACCAAGGAGACTCTAGGAAACATGACAATGGTTTAAATGTGTTGCTGCCATCAAACACAGACCCTCTGGCATCTAAAGAGGCACCAGAACAGGCTGACTCGATTTGATAAAGAACCCATGTCACCCCTTGGACCCCCTTGGATCTGCCCCTGCTCATCCAGTTAACCTGCTAATTTAACCAATCGCAACTCAGCTCTATCTTCTGGAGTGATAATCCCTCTCTTCCACATTTATAGATTTTATTTCTTCTCTTTATTTTGAGGTAAAAAAAAAAGAAGGAAGAAAAAGCTTGAGTACCCTCTTTTTTGCTCAGAACCAGGAAACAAAGAGAAAAGCAGAACTCTAACAGATCTGATCATCTGGCCCCACCCACAGAAGATAACCCTGACCAATGGGGTGAAAATATCGATTTCAAAACTGTATTTATATCTGGTTTGTGGAGGAAACTTCTCTGTCAGGTAAAGGTTATGATGTTGCTAGGCCGTACAGAATCGACTCGCCTCCCACAGATGAGGACTGAAACCCAGCAGACCAGAAAACCCGGCGTCTGTGCACTTCAACACACCTCAACATAGACTGTCCAGAGAGCACTGAGAGGAGGGAAAGTTCCCCGCCAATCTTTCTGATCTATCTGGTTCATTCAGTGACTCACAGACTGAGTAAAGACAAACCACATGCTGTTAGGTCTGGACTGACTCAGGTTTTTTAGTTTCAGATCTGGGCCTCGCTGCAGAAAGATGGAGAAAATGAGCAACCAAAGCTCCTCCACATATCTGCTGAAAGACCACTAAGAGGAGAGTCAAACCCCCTTGGTGTTTACAGGAGAGCGATCAGCGCCCACAGCATAACTCCTCTCTTTCTGCCAAATTTCTTTCCATTTAAACCCTCTCTCAGTTTGTTTGTTTGTTTGTTTGGGGAGGGCGAGGTTGGGGCTCCACCAGCTGAGAGGTGTAATTTTTCTGTAAATTATACCATCAGAAACCATGCATGCATCACATTGGTAACAGGGCTCTTCATGTATCTTAATATGAAAACAAGATTGTGTAACCAAATGACCAAAGTCCCAGACTTTAAATGAAGTCTGTGCAGGACTGACTCACATGAAGATATGAGCTCCCTTCTCAGACTGGAGCTCGGTTAGTAGAGATTTTCACCGAGTGGTTGTCTTACTCAAAAGGGTTTTAGACCGCAGATCAGCTGTGCATGGACAGAAAAAATGTAGACCTCACTGATAATACCTGCAAAATGTGATGTGAGCATCTCTATCTTTGGGAGGGAGGACATCTGTGTTTCGGCTGCTTCCCACATGTAATCCACTTTTTCAGGGTCTATCAAGGTCATGGAGCTGAGGGGTCTCAGATAGAGTACTTCCAAGGATGTCTTTCCTCATCAGTCTTGAAGCTTGGTGTTTTTAAGGTGATCCAGTTTTCAGATCTGGCTGTTTTAGGAGAAAGTTTACCAGAAGGTTCTCACAGATAACAAGACAACTTTCTGCAGAAACCAGCTGAGGATCAGATCATAGATAAATCAGCTTAGATAGATCCAGTACAGGAGCAATCATGGGCAAACTGTGGGTCTCTGTAGTGCCTCACTGGCAGAACTGTGGTCTGGACCAGTGGTTCTCAAGTCCAGTCCTTGAGGCCCACTGTCCTGCATGTTTTGGATGTTTCCCTGTTCCAACACACCTGATTCAAATGATTAGCTCGTTATTAAGCCATTAAAGAGCTTGTTAACGAGCTAATCATTTGAATCAGGTGTGTTGGAGCAGGGAAACATCCAAAACATGCAGGACAGTGGGCCTCAAGGACTGGACATGAGAACCACTTGTCTAGACAATCCATGTCCCGTCACGCCTGAGTTAAGGTTTATCTTATCTTCAGAAAACCAAGATGAGCTCTCAGTTTTTCCAGTGAAGGATCATTTTAAGATCTCTAGAAAAAATCACACCTTTGAATAATCATCCCATCTCACATAGTGCTCAGATTGTGCAGCGCTAAACTAGCAGAATTATTAAATTCACTTAGCGCCGTGGTCTTCAGACTGTATGTTAATGTTTAGGGGGCGATCAAATCCAAAAAGACTTGATCTGAAACTGAACCAACTCAGCATGAAGACACCTTTTTACCTTTGTCTGGTTTACACCCATTTATCCCAAACACCCACTGTTCCTATCACAGGCTGTCTTTATGTAATTCAACGTTTCTTGGCTCAAATCAAGAAACTGAAGATGTCATTTGACTCATTTCCTCCAGAACTGCAGCAACCACTCTGTCATTTCACAGGCTGCCTGGACTCCATGCAGCTACTAAACTGACTTTGTTATGTAAAGTTGGTGGAATTCCCCTTTAAGTTTGATTTCTCGGTCATGTGGGAGTTTAAGAAAGGAGCCTTGTGTTCATGTTAGCCCTGAGAAATGTGTGGAACCAGTTCAGTTAACCTGTTTTCTGAGTGTGTCAGGAGGTGTGTTTGTGATGCTGTGGTGTGTTCACTAATTCGAGTAACAGACCAGCAGCCCAGTTTGATAAACTGGACTAGTTATTTTGGAGTTAATAGTCAGTGAGTGTAAGCCAGTTTTTCATCAGAGCCAGCCGCCTTAGCCCTGCTCATAGAGCTCCCTCACAGAGGGCCCTTAAGGAGCCTCCTCACAGAGCCTCCTCACAGAGCTCCCTCACAGAGTGCCCTGAAGGAGCCTCCTTGTTGAGTGTCCTTACTGAGCGTCCTCACTGAGAGCCCTCACGTCTCAGTTGCTTTTAAATCTCAAACATGCACAAGATTCCAGAAGAGTTCATTGTAATAATTTTACAATAAGAAAGTAAAAATGTGTCGTTGAAAGAGAGGACCAGAGGTTAAAGGTCATAACACTTTTATGAAAGACTGACGGTGTGTCGTACAAACAGCTCAACATATCAGTGTTTTCAGACTTGTAGATGATAGTGAAAGAAATCTGATTGACCAACAAACAAAAATGTCTTAAAATCATGGATAACTCAAAAATAAACATCATATTTAAACATACAGATCATTTGTATCATTGTGTTGTCTTGTTTGCACCAACTTAGTGGATTAATGTCCTGCTGTCAGGGTTTGGTTGCGTTAACAGTACCTCAGTGTGAAAGTGTTTTTAACGTCTCAGAGCTGCTGAACTCGTTCACGGTTTGCTGTCACAACATTTGTCACCGCTGCAGCTGTTAGATGAAGAGGCTGCGTCACACACTCCTGTTTGCTTTAACAAACAAACACACACGCGTGCGCACACACACACACACACACACACACACACACACACACACAGCAAACCGGCAACAGCAGGAGAGGACTTCCTGCTCGGTGTGAATATTAACAGCTGACAACACAGCAAACAAATGTGTGAGCAGCAGGAGAGTGTCTAACAGAGGACAGTTAGCGTAAAGGATTTACAGTAAAGAAAAAAAAAACTTTTAAGTGTTTTTGTATCAGTCGGCTGAAATCTAACTCTGAGATTCCTCCACACAGAGTCCCAAAATATGAGCAGCTTTATCCTGACAGCAGCAGCAGACTCTTTTAGGGGTCAAGGTCCAGAGAAATCAGAGAAAGGTTGAAATTGAACCTCATCAATTAGAGATGACAAAACTTTTTCAGCTTTTACATTTAGAAAAAAAAAAAAGATTTCTCATGTCACCCTTACTGGAACTGTACTTTAACAACACAGGTTTATATGTTAGTCCGACTGGAACTGGACTGAAATTAAACTTTTGATAAACTAACATACCAAAATGATGCAGTTGGAGATCAATTCTCTCACCTGTAAAAATAGATGAAGCTGTCACTAAAGGTTGACGTTGTTTTCACTGTTTGAGTTCTGCTGAAGTGCTTGGTAATTGTTTTTGTCCACGACATAGACAAGCAAAATATAGACTTGTAGGTCCAGCCAAATCACCTCAAGTAGCTTTAACCGAAGCTGGATATAACTGTGAATGAAGTGAGAACTTCAAAAATGTTTTGGTGCATTACATTTAAAATAAGTAGTTTTTCATTTCCAGCATTTAAATTTCTGTTGATGCACTTCTTAAAATAAAAACCGACATTAAAACGTCCACAGAATTGGATAACCGTAAACTGGATAACTAAGAACCTACAGGGATTTTCAAACATATGATTCTGTTGTTTTATGAACATTTTGCACATGTCACATGTCAGTATTATGTGGGTTAAATTGTTTCCATCTTTACCCTCTTTTTTTTCAAATACCCTTTCAGCCCCCCCCTACACACACACACACACACACACACACACACACACACACACACACACACAGCTTCTTCTCCTTCATTTTCTGCTTTTTTGTCCTCTCGTGTTTTTGTATTTTTTTTTTCTCATTTCCCTCTCTAATTCCTAGAACATCTTGTTATTTTCTGTGTGTGAGTGTGTGTTTTGGGCTGTCCTATGCTCCACGTGGATCTGCTTTCCCTCCTCAGGTCATGATTGGCCAGCTGCAGAGCTTCCTTAGCAATGATTGGCTGTTACAGTGGGGTTTCCTGCAGTTATATTGGCTGGGAGGTAAAATCCTTAAACTCACCCCCCTGCTCTCCTCACATGCAGCCACACACTTTGAATTCAGGCGCAAACACTTAGTACAGTGTGTGTGTGTGTGTGTGTGTGTGTGTGTGTGTGTGTGTGTGTGTGTGTGTGTGTGTGTGTGTGTGTGTGTTTTCTTGGAAAAGTTTCAAAGTTCTGGATACTCCGAGTTAACAGGTGGTCAGACTGACGCCTGTTTCACTGAACTGTTCACAACTGAGCACAGGTTCACCCTCCACAGACACATTTTAACCACAAAACACCAAATTATAACCTTTTTAAAAGTGGATTCAGAATTAATTTTGTTCTTAACCAAGTGACATGTACAGACGGAGCAGCTCTGCAGTTTTTTCTGCACAAGTTTGGACTGCAAATGTCAATAAAAAAAAAAGAAAAGATTATGATGAATTTATATTCAACTGATATACTGAAAAGACAAAACAACAAATATTTCAGTGAACATTTTTATATTTATAAGTATGATGCCAGAAAAAAAACAACCAAACAGGTAAAGAGTTGTTATGCTTAAAAAACTAAAAAAAAAGGTGGAGGAACATCTCCAACAAGAACCAAAACCAAGACTGGATCGTCCTGATCCTCGGGGCATTAAAAACAGACAGGACTCTGGATTGGGAATTACCGCATGGAAAGGACAACTGGACTGACTTGAGACTTAAGTTGGTCCAGTTGTCCTTTCAACAAAGAATTGGAAATCATAGATGCTGCATCCTCAGTTTTTAATAGTAGGGGGGTCTTGTTCTCAGCTCTCATTTCAAATCCAGCATCCCTGATGGCTTGGGGATCATCAGAGTCCATGTTAGATCACTTCAAAAGCCATCATCACTCCATGAACTAATCAGGTTCAAACTGTCCTAAAATCTGACTGATCTAAAATTGAATAACTCTTTTTAAATCATGAATGCCTCACCCTGTGCTCTTGCAGACAAGAATTGGACATAATTTCACTTTAAACTCCAGAAACTGGTCTACAAGGTCCACTAATGTGTGCAGATTGTTGGTAAATAAGCTGAAGACATACGATTTGAAATGAACTTGAAAATGAACAAAAACATTCTATTTGAAATAAGCAACAACAACAAAAAAAAGATATTTTTCTAATAATCAGACAATGTTTCTGGTGTGTTGGAATCACTGAAGCCAGATTGTGTATTTCATGTCTTATATGTCTAAAACACACATTTTTATCACACTGTGTGCAGGTATTGAAGCATCCTCGGGTCAGAGTGTTTTTCTTTAACATTAACCATGTGAGAAAGCACCAGAACATTCCTGTGGAAAGTAGAAAAAACTCCTGAATAGTAAGAGTGGGAAAGAGAAAGAAAGAGGAAATCTATTGTCATCTCTGCCCCCCCACCTCTCCTGTCAGCCCCTTTGTCCTCCGCCATAAAGGAGCCTGTTTGATCATCTTAAAAACTGCTGATTACCAGTCAGGACATTTTCAAGGTCCGACCTCAAAACAGGTCCAACAATACTGAACAGAGAGGGAGTTCCTGAAGACAGTGTGGGCCCCCACAGATCATAAAGCCCGTTCCCCCTCTTTCTATACCGACCCTGAAAAAACAGATTGGAAACGCTGCACTGGTGCCGGGTTATGAGTGGCAGGGGGTTCAAGGAGCGGGACTCATACCAGGAAAATATGGCTGCTTCTGGGAAGGAGGAGTGGTGCACATGTTGAGTTTTTCTGCTAAGAACCTACAGCATGTTTTCTGCAGCGTGGGGTCAGACTGGCTATGTGTGTGTGCGACTTACAAACCGACCATTTAGCTCTAATATAGGTTTTATTTATGCACTCTGTCTGATTGTTTCCCCTCTTGAACTAAAGGTGTCGTGGACTCTTTGACTTTTTATCATCTTTACCCCACCTCAGTGTAGGCTTGCCAACTGTCCCTTGAAAAACAGAACAAAACAGAATCATCCCGTATTTAGAAACAAATGTATGCGTTCTGTATTGAGCTGAAAAGGGATGCATCTTCTTAAATTGTTTCACACACAGAAAAGGGTCTGAAAAATTCATCATACTGGGAAGGGTGAAGGCAATCAGGCCCTGCCAGTGAGGTGTCCCTTATTTCTTTTTTAGGGAGTTGGCAACCCTACCTGAGTGTGAAGGATGGACTAGTGGGAAGAGGAATCTAAAACCATCTAAGTTTCACAGCTCTGTGCAGTTCGCTCTAGTTTGTATCTGAGCATCGCTGCAGCCTAGTTTGTGATGCATCTAAACCTGTGTGCATGCTTTGTGAATGAATCAATGTCTTTGGGACTTTACTGTGTGCAGCAGACCTGCAGTCCTTCAGTAAATCAGACTCTGAGCGGTATCTCTAATCTAACTGAACTTTTCAAGTTAGCGATCTCTGTACAGATGACTTTAAATGCAACAACTTCAACTCCATGAGGGTTTGGATGTTGTAAAAAATAAGAGTAAAAACATGTTCTTATGACACTGTAGACCTCAGTGAATCCAGCAGACCAGGTTCTGGAGTCTGAAAGTGAAAATGTGGTCCCATTCTGGCCTGATAGATGATTTCAGCTGCTCAACAATTCAGGGTTTCCTTTATTCACCTCTTGCGTTTTTTAAAGGTGATTTGAGTCCTCCTCCCTGGAGAGGAGGATGAGGGTCCAGGATTTCCAAAAAGACCATCTAATCCAGGTGGTTATGGATCCTGATTCTATCTAATCTCCTCTTTCATGGTTCAGTTTGAACCTCATTTGTGGATGCAGTGTTTAAACTGTGTTCACAGTCAATGGTTTTTGGAGTGATTCTAAACTACCCATGATATGGACTCTAATGATCAAGGCCCCCTACTCTTTAAAACTGAGGATGCAGCATCTATGATTTCCAATTCTTTGGCGAAATGTCCCAAGTAAGTCCGGTCGTCTTTTCGATTCGGTAATTCCCACTCCAGAGTCCTGTCTGTTTTTAATGCCCTGAAGATCAGGACCATCCAGTCCTGGTTTTGGTCCTTATCCCTTTTGCAAAGGAGGCAAAGGATAAAGGATTTGAACCTTTTCTAAAGCTGAGGGATTGTCTGAATGTTCTTCTTTGCTATGTGATGTAACTCTCAGGTGTGTGTGGTCCACTGTTGCATGCCCTCCCTCCTCACCCTCCTCTCCCCTTCGAGAGCTCATGCTGCTCCACTCTTTGGATCCTTCTGGAAACTTTGGGCCTCTTTCTTCCTCCAAATTACCCAACTGACTCCTCTCTCCCCTAAAACTCTGCAGGACACAAATCTATGCAGGAAACCTCCCGTTCAGGAACCAGACATGACAAAAACACTGCAGGAGACCCTCAACAGGAGCGTCAGAGACAACTGAGGCGTAATCTCAGCTGAAGTACAAATTACAGCCCACTGAAAGGAGAGATATCTGCTGTTCTACGATGATCAGAAAGACGGCTTCACAGTAATTTAAACCACTTGATCTTAGGAGTCAGATACTCTTATGCATACAAGCTTGTGCATTTCCATAAACCTGCTGTCAGTCTGTAGTTTTATAGGTATTTACTCACACAGAAATGGTGCAATCATCCAGCAGAGTCGTCCTGTAATTTTATAACCAAGTATTTATTTCAAACATAAACAAAAACAAGGAACAGATTTCTGTTAAACCACCCACCAGCACACAAACCTGGGTCTGCACTGCAAAAGCTCAAACCAGAGCTGCTGCTTTTGTCTCATTTCCACTTTCTAAATGTCTCATTTTAAAAATTAGCCTAATTTTACTAAAAATCCAAAATGATGGACTTCTTATAAATCCAAGAGACTTTTTTGGATCCAGGTAGGACGCATCAGCCCACCAAAGCCCAGTCCTTTAGCTAAAAAGTGGTTGTGAGGTAGAGTGTTTTAGAAGTTTATGGGTGGCTAAATGGACCATTAAGGCCACACCCACTGACTGGACCTGTATGAAATGTGTCACTGCCTCACTGGGCTCATTTGAACCTGGGGACGGTTAGAGTATTTTAAGCCATTAAAAAAATTACTTCCTGTTTGATAGTGAATTAAGTAATTTTAGATACAGCGTTTAGCGTTGGCTAATGTGCTCTGTAGGAGAGAAGGGGTAACAGTGGAGGCAGTTACTTCTAGTTGTCAGAGGATGGCACTGTATTTTTCAAGGCAATTCTGACCACGCCCTCTGATTAAAGCTCAAAGTCTTTGGTACACATCCAGACCAACATCTTTGGAACATGTTGAGCATAAATGATGCGGATATGTTCAACAGTCATAGTGGTAATGCAGCAAAGTTCCCGGGGGTGCTCTAACTGTGACGAAGTGTTACCAAATGAATGTGTTCAGGTCGGGGACCCCCATGATGTTTGAGTGTGGTCTGGATTGGATCTCGCGTGGCCGAGAAAACACCACTTCCTGTGTCATGGTGGCCACACACTCTTATTTACCTGACAAACCTTATAACTTTATTCTCCAAGTTTCTTTTGGATTTAAAAATTAGCTAAAGTTGATCCAATATTCTGTAACTATGGACACTTGACCACCACATCTCTCCGGGCCTGACATGAAAAAATCCAGGATTTTTCAGGTCAGTAAATCCCCCTAAATTAGCAATCAATCAGGGAGGAGAAACATAGTATTTCCAAGGATTATGTCACACCACCTGGTGCTCAGACCTTATTCATGTTTTGCAACTTTTTCACATTACATCATTTTTTTTTCTTTTTCATTTGCAGAAGTTGTCGCTCTGATTGAAGAGAAAAACAACCAGACAAGGACAAATGTGGTAAGAGGACAAAAACCAAACAACACTTAAAAAAAAAGTAAAATAAGGGAGTCCGTTTTTAATCTGGAGGTGGTTTTCTGTCCCTTACATTTCGTCATTTCTCTGAAAGTTACAGTTCTGGAGTAAAAATAAATCACAGTGAAGAGATTTCACACCTTAGTCATATGTTAAAAGGACATCTGTCGTGTTCACATGAATTTCCACAGAAAAACACCCTGACCTGTGAACTGTGAACATGGATTGTGAAATCCAGAAATGAAACCCACCATGTGATGATAGCGTGTAGGAGGGGAAAGACATCTGTACATCATGTAAAAACATACAGAAGAAAACAGAAAACTGCTGCCCAACCATATTCACCTGAGCCCTTCAGGTAACACACCACATCAGGACTGCAGACAGGATATTCATCGTTTCCACACTAAACATCTAGACCAACACTTCTGTACACTCCACAGTCAGAAGCCGTGACTCCACGGGGGGGGGGGGCACAAGGGTCAAAGGTCAAAGCTCTGCAGCTGAATGGACTCTTCCAGTCCAGAGAAGGAACAGGACTCTATTGTATCCTGGAAGTGGATCCTCAAAAGACCTTCGACCTGTCCAGGATTTAAGATCATTAGCTGCTGACCCCCCTCCCCCGAACCTCCTTACCCCTTAACCCCCAAAGCTCAGAGTTCTCCACCCCCAACCCCCTGAGGCCGGCTCAGGAGCTAACAGAGAAGAGGGGAAGGATGGTGACACTAGATCAGGGGCTCAAACAGATACAGTGATTCATCTTTAATGAAGCCCCACTTTCTGAAAACCTCGTTAAGGTTTTAAAGCAATTAAGGATTCAGAACCAGAATCATAGAGCAGAACGAGTGGATTTCATCATCTACAGTATCAATGACAGATTCAGAGGATCTGGAGAAACCTCTGTATGAAAGAAATAAGGACCAAAACCGAGACTGGATGGTCCAGATCTTAAGAGTATTAAAAACAGGCAGGACTCTGAAGTGGGAATTACCACATAGAAAGGACAACTGGACTTACTTGAAACATTTTACCACTTACCACTGAAACATCTTAAGTAAGTCCAGTTGTCCTTTCAACAAAGAATTCGAAATTATAGATGCTGCATCCTCAGTTTTAAAGAGTAGAGGGTATTGTCCTCAGCTCTCAGTCAAAATCCAGCATCCCTGTTGGCATGGGGATCATCATGTCATGGGTAGCTTCCACATTTGTTAAGGGTCTACTAAGGCTGAACACACACACACGCATGCACGCACGCACGCACGCACGCACGCACACAGTGTTGTGTGTACATCTGTGCCTCCATTTGTCTTGCTGTCAGACGGAAGGATTTATCTGTGAGTGTGTGTGTGTGTGTGTGTGTGTGTGTGTGTGTGTGTGTGTGTGACCCAACACACACACTCACACCTGTTGTCATGCTGTGTGCACACACACAACACACACTGACAAACCTGAGCATTTGATTTGCGTCACCTGTCTTCTGTTTCTGTCACACAAATCACAGATGTCAAACCACACATCTATCTATCTATCTATCTATCTATCTATCTATCTATCTATCTATCTATCTATCTATCTATCACACTCAGACCATGTTTTTCGTTGTGTCATTGTTTCTGTCAGTTGTGATGTCGAGTGTCCATCCCACAGCTGCTCTCTCCTCTCTGCAGCTGTGAAAAGTCTGTATATCTCTCTATCAGCTGGTGTGTCTGTTGTGTGTTTAAAAGTGTAAGTTGTTTAGTTTGTGTTTCTTGCAGCTGTGACAGTTGAAGACGTCCCCGCTGCTGTCTGCAGCTCAGCTTAAACCGTTTGGTGTGTTTGGACATTTGTCAACAGTATCCTAACACAGGGAGGCCTGGATAAGCAAAGTCTGGGATTTCCTCAAACGCCGAGCTGCTGCACTATATCTGCCCTGCCTATGGGGGCAGTATCACGTGCTGCAGGATACAAGAATTCAAAGAAAGAAGAAAATGTCCACATCAAAGTCCTGCATTGAAACCCAGTCAGACAGTCTCTCTGCAGTCATCATGAGTTTATTTATATCCTTTCACTTCCTCTTTTGGTGCAAAAGGATTAAGATGAATCCCCAAATAATGGTAAAATGAGGAGGTAGAAAAAATGTGATTGACAAATATTTATTGTCATTATCTATGATGCTAGACAACATCCATGAATAACCAAGTTTTAGGCTACAACAGTGGAATCAAGTCTCCCTCTATCAGTCTCTCCTCTGTCACCCTCAAGCATCAGGGTTTTCTTTTGTTTGGACTTCACTGTCCAGATTGATCAGATATAAACGTGTGTTAGTAACGTTAATATTCTTTTAGGTTTGAGGCTTAAACGTGGTAAACACTGATTCTCACCCGTTTCTTCTTCTGTAGTGTGCTGCACCTATGCTGTATCCTCATACAAGGAGGAGGAGGAGGAAGCTGCTGTCAGTCAGTGGAGTGAGTGTGAACAAACCGTTAACACACCAACATGACCCCAGCCCCACCATTCATTAGTGACACACACACACACACACACACACACACACACACACACACACACTGGAAGACCACTTTCAGTTCTGTATTTCAGTTCTCGTCAGAACATGAGGTCTTACAATAAAAGGGGAGGATGTGTGTGTGTGTGTGTGTGTGTGGGGGGGGGGGGGGGGGGGGTCTCTGAGGTCTTCCTGTTTTCTCTAAAGCCTCACTCTCATTTCTCTCAGTCCAAAAAAGTGTAAACGATGTTTCTCTGCAAAGACATTAAAATTAAAAACCACCTCTCATGAGCACTGTTCACACACAATCGGCACTCTGGTAGTGTCCCGACAGTTTGGGGTGGGGTGCCGGCTAGTAAAAGCCACATTTAAGGATTACATGCTCACATTTTCTTTTTCAGACTCTTTAATGCAATTAGGAGGAACTTCCAGCAGGTTTATGGTGCATTTCCACCAAATAGCTGATGGTGTTAAAAGTCAAAAGTTTCTTTGATGCATCGCCACACAGATGTGCAGCTCCATCACTTGCAGGAATGACAATTACGATCGTTGTTCATCAGCCAACTTTTTTTCCCTGACAATGATAATTAAAATACAGACAATGCAACGAAGCTGTGGTAATGTTAATCTGGTGTGTAGTGCAAAGACATTCATGGTGACATCCTACCTCGGTCTGGTCCACAGTTAGGCAGGTGTTTCCAAAAACTGAGGTTTCCCTCCAAAGCTTTCAAAACAGATCCTGTCTCCATGACTGTGTAGGAACAGTTGGAGGCGATGATGATGTGAAACCAGTCTATCACGTTAAAGACAGAAGGACATTGTGTGCACGTGTTTGTGAGCAGAGTTCTTTAAACTGAGAAAAAAGTGGCAAATTGAAAACCATTATACACCATGATGAGAAAATGATGTGTTTTTCATGTAACACTTGAGAGGCCTCATTCTCACAATCACATGACAAACACATTGGACGCATTCTTTCCTTCAGCCAATGACAAACAATGCTCTGCTGCAGCAAATTTGATTCAAACATGACTTATCTGACTTCAGCAAACTCAAAATTTTGAAAGCTTTCAACTTAAGAGATGAAAACTGTAAGTGACCTATAATTTAGTTTTCAGCCTATAAGAGTCCAAAACAGACTGAAAACTTTCTTCTCAGCGCTTCCTGGAGAAAAAAAAAAGGTAGTTCAAATTCCTCTGAAACTTTGGTTCATTTATGAACAAGCAGACATGTGCAGCATGACATAAAATCAAACCTAATGATTAATAAGACTGTAAAACTGTCATTAAAATGTGAGATAAGT